CCAGAGGAGGTGACACTGACCTCAGGAAAAGTAAAGGGCAAGAAGAGTTACTGCTACTCCCAAGTTCCCTGTGGGAGCATTTGTGATTTTGCTTTGTTTAAAAGACAGCCTTGCCTCAGTTAATCTGCCATAAGTGGGAATATTTCATCTTGAAAGGATATCAACCAGAAATCCAAAAATGCAGATTAAGTGGCAGTGGAGCATGGAGGAGAGAGAGCCAGGCGCTTGCTCTGGGCTGGGGGCAGGTGGTGGTGGAGAAGGAGGAGGAGAAGACCAGCAGGAGGCAGTGGCGGCGTCCTCGCTGGGGTGATGGTGCAGGTGCAGGTGCTTGTGTGGAGCTGCCTGGCTGAGCGGTGCCTGGTCCGGGGTCTGCAGCACTGCTGATTCTCTCCCGGAGGCAGGGGGCGGGTGGGAAAATGCTGAGCAGGTTGATGAGTGGCAGCAGCAGGAGCCTGGAGCATGAGTACAGCTGCACCATCCAGGGAGATTCAAGATGGCAGAAGAGCAGGTAGACGTGGAGTTCATCTGTCTCCACGGATGCATCAGGAATACATCTATAGATGCGACAATTTTCGCAGAACACCAGCCGGAAACTAGCCGAAGACCTTGGACACTGGAAAGGACTATAAAGATCCTTGCATAACTGAGATGAGCGACTTGCAGAGTCTTGGCCCCTCAACCAGAAGTTGGGCCTGAGGCTCGGGAGTGGGAGCACCAAGTCCAGGATGCTGGGCCACTAGAGAATTCCCAGCCCCAAGGAAGGTTAATCACCGAGAACCCTCACGGAGGCCTCTATCTGAATCCAAGACCCAGGTCCACCCAACTGCCAGCAGCTCCCAGTGTTGGACCCCTCACACCAAACAACAAACAAGACAGGAACACAAACCCACCCATTAGCACACAGACTACCTAAAGTCATACTAAGCTCACAGACACCCCAAAACACAGCACTTGACAAGGCCCTGCTCTTCAGAGGGAAGAGACTCAGCTCCACCCACCAGAATGCAGATACCATTCCCTCCCATCAGGAAGCCTACACAAGACACTGGACCAACCCCACCACCAGGGGCAGAGAACAGAAGCAAGAGGAACTATGACCCTGCAGCCTAGGGAAAGGAGACCTCAAATACTGTAAATTAGACAAAATGAGAAGACAGAAAAATATCCTACAGGCAAAGGAGCAAGATAAAAACCCACAAGACCAAACAAATGAAGAGGAAACAGGCAAACTACCTGAAAAATTCAGAGTAATGATAGTAAAGATGATCCAAAATCTTGGAAATAGAATAGAGAAAATACAAGAAATATTTCACAAGGACCTAGAAGAACTAAAGAGCAAACAAACAGTGGTGAATAACACAATAACTGAAATTAAAAATACTCTAGAAGGAATCAATAGCAGAATAACTGAGGCAGAAGAACAGAAAGTGAGCTGGAAGATAGAATGGTGGAAATAACTGACGCATAGCAGGATAAAGAAAAAAGAGTGAAAAGAATGTAGGACAGTCTCAGAGACCCCGGGACAACATTAAGCACACCAACATTCGAATCATAGGCTTCCAGAAGAAGAAGAAAAAAAGAAAGGGTCTGAGAAAATACTTGAAGGGATTATAGTTGAAAACTTATGCAACACGGGACAAGAAATAGTCAATCAAGTCCAGGAAGTGCAGAGAGTCCCATACAGGATAAATCCAAGAAGAAACATGCCAAGGCACGTATTAATCAAACTAACAAAAATTAAACACAAAGAAAAAATATTAAAAGCAGCAAGCGAAAAGCAACAAATAACATACAAGGGAATCCCCATAAGGTTAACAGCTGATCTTTCAGCAGAAACTCTACAGGCCAGAAGGGAGTGGTAAGATATATTTAAAGTGAAGAAAGGGAAAAACCTACAACCAAGATTACTCTACCCAGTAAGGATCTCATTCAGATTCAACAGAGAAATCAAAAGCTTTACAGACAAGCAAAAGTTAATAGAATTCAGCACCATCAAACCAGCTTTACAGCAAATGTTAAGGGAACTTCTCTAGGCAGGAAACACAAGAGAAGGAAAAGACTTACAAAAACAAACCCAAAACAATCAAGAAAATTGTAATAGGAACATACGTATCATTAATTACCTTAAATGTAAATGGATTAAATGCCCCAACCAAAAGACACAGACTGGCTAAATGGGTACAAAAAGAAGACCCATATATATGCTGTCTACAAGAGACCCACTTCAGACCTAAGGACACATACAGGCTGAAAGTGAGAGGTTGGAAAAAGATATTCTGTGCAAATGGAAATCAAAAGAAAGCTGGAGTAGCAATACTCATATCAGAAAAAATAGCCTTTAAAATAAAGACTATTACAAGATACAAGGAAAGACACTATATAATGATCAAGGGATCAATCCAAGAAGAAGATGTAACAATTGTAAATATCTATGCACCCAACATAGGGGCACCTCAATACATAAGGCAAATGCTAACAGCCACAAAAGGGGAAATCAACAGTAACACAATAATAGTAGGTGAATTTAACACCCCACTTACACCAATGGACAGAACATCCAAACAGAATATAAATAAGGAAACACAAGCTTTAAATGACACATTAGACCAGATGGACTTAATTGATATTTATAAGACATTCCATCCAAAAACAATAGAATACACTTTCTTCTCGAGGGCACACAGAACATTCTCCAGGATAGATCACATCTTGTGTCACAAATCAAGCCTCAGTAAATTTAAGAAAATTGAAATCATATCAATCATCTTTTCCAGCCACAACAGTATGAGACTAGATATAAATTTAAAAAAGCAGATTAAAACAGCAATGGGATATCAAAAGCAAGCTGGTAGATGTTTTTTTTTTAACAGTGGTACCCAGTACAGAGGAGGAAGTTCTCAGAGATGGCTGCCAAAAGCCTCCATGTCAGACAAACATAGGTTTGTCCCCCATTGTCACAGCTAAGGAGGACTCTGGCTTTTGTCGAATCACCTAGCTTCTCCAAACCCAATTTGTGCATTTTTTAAATGAATGCAGTGTCATTGTGTAGAATACATGAGATATGCATGTTAGCACTTAGCCTAGTGCCAAATGCAGTATAAACTGTGGGCAATTTCTTGATGGATATCAAGGGCCTTACCCTTTGACACATTAATTAACTTCTGGGGATCTAGCCTAAAGAGAAGAACACATCTAAACAACTACAAAAAATGATCAATGCAATAATATGCTCATAGCGGTGTGCTTGATGAGTGCATCATTAGAAATGTACTATTGGGAGAAGTTTGTTTGGAAGCTGCTATTTGTTTTCAGAAATGCAGGACTATCACTAACAAATATATTTGGGACCTAAGGATGTTTTTTTCAGGATTATGAGGCTGTACAACCTGAAGGATTAATCTGTTCTAGGACTAGGAGCTGTCCTAGGTATCTAACCCCACTACCTGGCCACTTTAGTGCAAAGTTGAATTCAGGCAGCCAGGCAAGCCAGGGCATTCCTCTTTCAGAAATCCCTGTCTTTTTTTTTGCAGAAGTGGCACCTGCTATGGAAATAGGTGGAGCTTAGCCTCTTTCATTGGCATTGAGAGATTTACAGGGAACAAGGTGTGTCTATGAATAGAACAGACTGTGTTTGCCAAGGGGGAATGGGAGTGGAGAGGGATGGATTGGTAGTTTGGGATTAGCAGATGCAAACTAGTATATATAGACTGCATGAACAACAAAGACCTACTGTATAGCACAGGGAACTATATTCACTATCCTGTAGTAAAACATAATGGAAAAGAACATGAAAAAGAATGAATATATATATATATATATATATATATATATATAACTGAGTCACTTTGCTGTACAGTAATTAACACAACATTGTAAATCAATTATAATTCAATAAAATAAGTTAAAAAAAGATGTGTCTATGACTATTTAGAGGAAAATGCTGCATTACACTTACCTGAATAAGCTCACTGCATTGTTGTAGAGGTTGGCTATAAAAATTACAAATGGCTTTCAGATTATAACACCTATTCATAATCTAGATGGTATTCCAGGCTTTCTCCTTATTCATCTAGTAAAAGTGACTCCAGCGCATGGCTCAGCTGGTCACATATATACATTTGTTTATTTTCCTGTAACTTCCTCAAGTAAACTCGGACCCATTTTCCCTCACTTATGCAAAGGATAATCTTCTTCCACTTCTTCCTGGTTCTAGTCTACACACACTTAATACTCCCCACTTCTGGTCCTCTCATGCATCCCCCACCTGACTCCCCATGTTACTAAAAATACTCTTAACATATTAAAAATCTGGCCAATGTCACTTTACTGCTTCTAACTTTGAATGATAACTTTGGCAAAGCATAAACTCACCTGCTTCATGGTCCATGGCCCTCTCTGTCCCACTGCAAGTTCACAAATGACTCATTCCCCAGGGATGCCATTTTGCTAGTTTTTCCAAGCCTTTGCAAACACCATGCCATCTGCTGAGAAGGCTGACCTGGCACTCACTCTTGTCTTTCCCCACTTCCTTCCAGAAAAGCATCTCCTCCTTTGTGAAACCTTTGCTTCTTTCGCTATTTCTTCTACCAGGCTGCCCTGGGGACATTCCATATTGTAACAAAGTTTTCTCATACGTATCTCTTTGAAAGGTATCCCAGTGCTTGGCACTTAGCTGACTTGCAGTACAGCATTATTCAATGAATGAATGTAATTAGTTTTATCTCTGGATCCCTAGAAACTTCTGATGCTTCCCATGCCCCCATCCACCCTGGGTCTTGGATGACCCTCTTTGCAGATAGCACCATGATGCAGAAAAAAGAATGGAAAACAATCTTGTGGGTGTGTCTGAACAAAGCTGACATATTTTTCCCTTTAAGATCTTGCTGCTGTATGTAAAATGATCCTGAAATTAAGGTCAGCTCCAGGTGGTTGTTTATATCAGCTGTCAGATTGCAGAATAAAAAATGGCTTTTATATATTTGATTTTTATTGTTTTCCAGGGCAATGTCACATTTTCCTGCTCCGAACCACAAATTGTTCCCATCACATTTGTCAACTCGAGCAGCAGTTATTTGCTGCTGCCCGGCACCCCCCAAATCGATGGGCTCTCGGTGAGTTTCCAGTTTCGAACGTGGAACAAGGATGGTCTGCTTCTGTCCACAGTGCTCTCTGAGGGCTCAGGGACCCTGTTGCTGAGCCTGGAGGATGGAACCCTGAGACTCGTGATTCAGAAAATGACAGAACGGGCAGCTGAAATCCTCACAGGTACTGTCCACTGACAACTTCTATGTTGTTTCTCGTTCAGCCAAGTCGATACATGTTTGAGAATCTGACCAAAACATACAGGCCCCAGCTCCCAGGGGTGTGAGATGACCAGTCTTCACAAATTTCCTCTAAGTCTGAAGAGCCAACATTTGTTTTCTTTTTTTCTTCTTTTATAAATTTTGTATTGGAGTATAGTTGATTTACAATGTCGTGGTAGTTTCAGGTGTACAGCAAAGTGATTCAGTTATACATAGACATGTATCTATTCTTTTTCAGATTCTTTTCCCATCTAGGTGATTACAGAGTATTGCATATACTTCCCTGTGCTATACAGTAGGTCCTTGTTGTTTATCTATTTTATATATAGCCGTGTGTATCTGTTAATCCCAACCTCCTAATTTATTCCTCCCCTCATCTTTCCCCTTTGGTAACCATAAGTTTGTTTTCCAAGTCTGTGAGTCTGTTTCTGTTTTGTAAATAAGTTCATTTGTATCATTGTTTTTAGTTCAATATATAAGTGATATCATATGATATTTTTCTTCCTCTGTCTGACTTACTTCACTTAATATGATAAACTCTAGGTCTAATCATGTTGCTGCAAATGGCAATGTTTCATTCTTTTTATGGTTGAGTAATATTCCACTCTCTCTATATATATACCACATCTTCTTTATCCATTCATCTGTCAGTGGGCATTTAGGTGGCTTCCATGTCTTGGCTATTGTAAACAGTGCTGCAATGAACATTGGGGTGCATTTATCTTTTCGAATTACAGTTTTCTGTGGATATATGCCCAGGAGTGGGACTGCTAGATCATACAGTAACTCTATTTTTAGTTTTTTAAGGAACCTCCATACTGTTCTCCATAGTGGCTGCACCAATTTACATTCCCACCAACAGTGGGAGGGTGCAAGAGGGTTCCCTTTTCTCCACACCCTCCCCAGCATTTATTATTTGTAGACATTTTGATCATGACCATTCTGACCAGTGTGAGGTGATACCTTATGGTAGTTTTGATTTGCATTTCTCTAATAATTAGCAATGTTGAGCATCTTTTCATAAAAGTTTTTAAAATGGTTCTCAAAAAGCTGAAGATTGGAAAGTACTTTCTTTTATAGCAATAGAGTATAGGTCCTAATGTATAGCAACATGGAATAGATGTATGAATAACATCCTGACTCTTCTATCTGCCATTCCTTCAACATGGAGCCATGGAATTTTCTCCCTCCTTCTCTACTTGTTATCTTACTGACATCCCCTGTCCTTCTGGAAGCAATGTGTTCACTTAGTGACAAGTACTTACCGAGGTCAGACCACCTGCAGGCATTGGATTGGGGGCTAAGGCAGGCTGCTAGGTCAACAAATCCTGAGAAGCCTTCCTGGCTCTACAGCCTGAATCAAACCGCCTCCTCTGTGCACCCTGGGCCAATATCCATCCTGGATTATAGGACACTGAATCATTTATTTAATTTAAATGTCTTTCTTCCCCCACTGGACTGTGAATTTTGTTATTCAGTTAAATTAGAGGAAATTGAGTTAAGTAAAGGATGTGACTTAATAGTCAAGATCAGGTCAGGCTATGGGAAAGGCTCTGATGTCAATGGGTGAACAAAAAAGCCCATTGAAACTGTTATCAAACCAAACTTGGGGCCGCTCACCCATGTACAGTAAAGCCAATCTACTGACACCGAATTGTGGTGAAGGAAAGTATAGATTTTATTGCAGGGCACCAAGCAAGGAGAAGGGGCAGCTCATGCTCAAAAGACCTGAACTCCCCAATAGCTTTCAGGTAAGGGGTTTTAAAGGCAGTGTGAGGGAGGGAGCTGCAGGGTGTATGATCAGCTTGTGCACAGTTCTCAGATTGGTTGGCATCAAGGTGAAGTTTCCAGCATCATCAACCTTCTGGTTTCAACCAGTCTAGGGTCTATGTGGTTGTAGTCAGCAATTTTCATCTGGGGGCAGGGGTCAGCTTCCTGTAAAAAAAAAAAAACCTTTGGAATATGTGTCAGGCCTTTGTCTTTATCTTTCAGGGAACTGGGAATTTGGTGATTCTGCCATGTGGCTGATTTATAGTCTAAATTGTTACCAGTTTCCCAGCCCAACAGCTATTCTTTATTTCTACATCTTCACATTCCTAATCATTAACTTTTTTTTTTCCTAATCATGAACACTTGGGCAGCCTTTTGAGACTCAGCATAAGCGTGGGAGACTAAAGCAAAAGCCTATTATTTCAAAGGAAGGGACACAGGGTCTTGTATACAGTTTCAACACCCTGGAAATAACAGAAGGGCCTGGGTCTGTGAGTCAGAAAGGCAGGTTCCAAAAGCACCTTTTCCCCTTACTAGTTAGTCTGGGGCCCTAGATGAACTTAACTTTGTCTCCCATGTAAGTGAGAGTGCATTTGTTATCTACAGCTGCGTAACAAAGTATACCAACATGTATTAGTTGAAAACCACACGTGTTATGTCTGATTTTCTAAGAGTCGGGAATCCAAGAGCCCTTTGGGCAATTCTGGCTGCAGTCAAGTTGTTGGCAGGGGCGACAGTCATCTCAATGTTCAACCGGTTCTAACTCTGCTTCCAGGCTAACTCATGTGGCTGTGGGCAGACCTCAGTGGATCCAAACTTATCCCCACGCCCTCTCCAGAACGCTGCCTCATTGATAGGGCAGCACTCTTACCCCAGAGTGAGTGACCCTGGAGAGAGTGGGAAAGAACCCCCAGGACAAAAGCCACAGTCTTTGTATATCTCATCCCATCCTTTTCATCATATTCTATTCATTAGAAAAAAGTGAATAAGTCTAACCCCTGCTCAAGTCAAAGGGATTACACAAGGGTTCAGATATTAGGAGTCAGAGCCAGCCTCGGCATGTGCTTGGTGACGGCAGCAGTAACCGAGGGAGACGAGCAGGGTCCCAGCAGCATGGCCGCCGAGCTTGAGAGGGTCTGGGGGAGGCAGTGCTCCCAGTCTGAGGGGCTCCAACCCAGTGGCCACACCAGGAGGAAGACAAAAGAGAATGAAAGAAGCAGATAATCTTGAAAGTATAGAGGAAGAATGGGTTTGTGAAACAGGATCTGACCACCAACCTCTTAGTGATAATCAGCAAACAAATTGTGACTATTTTGTTGACAGCCTTTTTGAGGAAACTCAGAAGGTTGGTGTCAAATGTTTGTCTGCCACTGAACAAAAGAAACTGGTAGGTGTAAGTACAAAATTATGGAAAAATGGATTCACAGTCAGTGATGATTTCAGAAGTTATTTTGATGGTGCAGCTCAGCAGTTTCTGAACTCCATCAAAAAAGGGGAATTACCTTTAGAATTACAGCGTTTTTAATAATGAGGAGGTTGATGTTAAAGTTGAAGATAAGAAAAATGAAGTATATATGTCAACAAAGCCCGTGTTCCAGCCCTTCTCAGGACAGGGTCACAGACTGGGAAGTGCTACACCAAAAATTGTTTCTAAAGCAAAGTGTATTGAAGTTGAGAATAAAAATAAGTTGTCTACTGTCTCACTAAACAGTCTGGAGCCCATCACTAATATACAGATCTGGTTAGCCAATGGGAAAAGGAGTGTCCAGAAATTTAACATTTCTCAAAGGATAAGCCACATCAAAGACTTCTTCGAAAAACACCAAGGATCTCAAAGAAGTCCTCCCTTTTCCCCGGCAAGAGCTCTTCCTTTCCTCAAATTGCTAGATGAAACACTCACACTAGATATTAGTAGTCATGGATCATTGGGGACCATCTTAGCATCTACCTACAAAATGAGATTAAAAAAAATGCTTACATCACAAGACTGTGACGATGATTAAATATGATCTAAACCCTTTAGCACAGTGTTGAGAAGCTATTTAGCAAATTTCTTTTTCTTCCACACTGACTCAAGACCTCAGGCAAAAACAGGCCTCACTCCTTAGAGTCATAAAAGCTGAGTGAGTTTGTGCAGTCATGGGGCTTTTATGAAATTTCTAAGATTTCTAGTCATGGAGGTGAGTTAATCGCTTAGAAACATAACATTTTTCATGTGCAGAGTTATAAAAGTTAAACCTCGATCCTCCTTATTTGAAGAAGAAAAATCGTGAGCTGGCGTTGGTCTGTTTCTCTCCAACCGGCGAGATGGTTGAGTACAGAGACTTGCAGGGCTCAGGTCAAAAATGCAGTTTTAATATAGTACAGGCCCCAGTGGCACTTTGCTCTAAAGCATTACCTGTATTATTAAGCATGTGTCAGTCCATTAAAATGTGTTGATGACTGAGAGAGAGGCTGGTTAAAGCTGCCCCAATATCCAGTAAAGAGGGAGAAAAAAATCATGTTATTTTAGACCTGTCTCTAAAAAACATCAAACAAGTAAAAGAAAGATTTAAAAACATTCTGATGTCTGTCTCAGAAAACTCTTGCTTGCTTCTTTCTCCAAAAATTTCCTGAAATTTGGAAAATTTAGAAATTTTGGAATTTCTTTTATTTTTCTTTGAAATGGATCAAGGCTTTGTGTCTACTGGCATTGTTCTACCTGGGGGGAAAAGACAGGTAAACAAACAAAAAAATCAGACTAACAAAAACAGTTTTCTCCTCCCATACATTTCTGAAGAACCTTGTTTTCCAAGTACTTGAGATTGTATTGGCTTTATAAGAGAAAAATCTCACATGAGAAATTAGAAAAATAATAAACATTGTTCTAATAACTTTGAGGGCCACTGGGGCTACCCTTGACACATGGTACCTCATGGAAAATAGAAAATAGCACATTATTAATTGAACAGGGAATCCAGATATTTAAAGATTTACTTGAGAGTAGTTCATGTGTTTCTAACGTCTTGGGTCTAAAAGAGAAGGTGACCCCTATGAGAAGGTCAGCACACGGATGCCTGGCACATTCACTCCTGTTACCAAAGCTTCATACAGTGTGCATAGTTTTTGGGGTGTGTGGTTATTTTGTGCAGTTTGCATTGGGTATCAGGAAGAGAAGTCCAAACGAAATCGTCCTCAAAATAGAAGGCATTT